AGAAACGCCGTGTTTTGGGAAGTAAACTTTAAATAAACGATCAATCCGGTTACTTTGCAAGCGGGTTTTTTGTTTCGGATTTCATTCAAGGACGTCCACTTCAGGCTGGAATGAAACAGCGCCAGAACTAGGTTGTGGTTAGTTGCCCCTGCAATCGGACAAGCCTGGAACCTGGAGATAAAGTGAATTTCGCATGAATAGCAAATTTCACGTCAATCGATAAGTCAGTTGATAAACGCGCGGCGGGAAGCGTCTTCAGTAGTCACGCTAAGTTACCAGGTAATTCGACAAAAATTACCAGGTTACCGCCGGCACCAATGAAGCAATTTATTCCTTGGGACTGATCGCTTCTCCGTCTATCCAGAGATAATCAGATAGGGTTTGCAGCTCTCTTATAAGTTTTAGCCGTACACAATAAAACTTCACGTCAAAAACAGTATGAGTCTGACACTTGATATCATCCAGTCTTTTCACTAATGGGACGCGTTTTATTCGTCTCGTCCAACTTTGACCGCAGTGGCTGACTTCTTGAAGACTAACCAGCTTTTAAGAATGGAGTGTCACCGGGAGGGCGCAAACTTTTTGTAGATCGTACATATCCTTGTTGGTTTTGTGCATTACTTCCAGAACAATTGGGGGTATCTTTCCGAAGTCATTCGGTGAATAAACGCTGAAAATTTACCCAGTCGAAGCAGTGCGTGGAAGTAAGACTTAAATTCAGCATTAGTCATACAGCAGCTGACGTCTGTCTCTGAATCATTTGACCATCGATTTAATGGTGTCTCCTCGAAGTGAGGCCGAAAACAGTTTGACCAATCAGTAGCATTAGTCATACAGCAACTGATGTCTGTCTCTGAATTATTTGATCATCGATTTAATGGTGTCCCTTCGGAGTGAGGCCGAAAACAGTTTGACCAATCAGAGTTCGGTGCATCAGCTTGTTGGAGAGGGATCGATATTCAGGCGTGGAGACTGAGCTAACCTAAATTAGTTTAGCCAGTGCAGCTTGCGAAACACAACATCTTCCATTTTCATCATCTAGCGTTGCAAACGATGTCTCATCTTCACGCCTACCAAGCGTCTCCAGAGCATTTTTGCTTCAGCCACCAATAACAGGCTTTTGTTCTCTCTCGAAGGGCAACTGCCAAGAACATTTCTTATAAGGTGTCCAGTGATGGCACTCGACAGACCTCACCGGTTTCCTTGCGCGGACTAAACATTTAATTCAGGGACACTTTTCAGGAATGACAGTGTCTTGTTATCCACTGACGCGGAACAGTAACTATCAATGTTGACTTCAACTAACTCTTCAAGTGCGCAAACGGGTAGTTCCTTCCACGCCTGAACGGCCACGTCCGAAGTCATTCAATGTATACATTTGAATGCTGGGTAAATAGTCCGGTATGAATATAAACATCGAATTCAAGGGCAAACCAAGTCACTTAACCTGGAAGATGAAAAAAGTGGATGCACCAAGGCAAGCCGACAGCGGCGCGAGCGACTTCTGTCAATCATGCGAGGAGATTTTATCAGACTGAATGATTTCGATTGGCTGTGCAGTTAGCTGCTATCTGTCACATCCGTCCGTCTCCCGTTGACTCCCCAACACCCGCACCACCACCACTCGATGCCTACGGTTGCTAAACTGAATGTGTCCACTAATATCTGTCCGTCAAAAAAGTAACTTTTTACAAACCTTGTCAACATACAGTTTCTGTTTGTTAACTCATCGGTAGGTGAGATTGAAAACTAATCAGGATCACCAACACTCGTGTTTGTGCGTGCATGCACACAAGCCTCTGGTAAAACTGGTGGAGATTCATCGTTTTGATTGACAAAATCCCTGGTGCCCGACCCTGCGCGTCACGCCTTTCGTATACAGTAGGATGTTGGCAAGGTATAGTGTGCGGAGAGGGGGGGAATGGGCCGATGCGTGAGTCATACGGGAGAGTCACGCATCACCAATGTTAAGCTAAACGTGAGGTGCACCAGGTTTAATCTCTTTTCCAGTAAAAGGACTTTGTTTATACCGCGGTACAACTTTACCTCAGTGCTCTGATTTGCCAGTGTGACAGCTAACCTGACCAGTCTGGCGTTTCAAGAAGCTCCTTAGCATTTGCTTGGTTATGCACTACTCATAAGGTTGCTGAAAACTCCTCAACAGCCCACGACCGGTTTCACCCTTCTTGGGGTTCATCAGGTAGGCGAAGTCCCCGAGTTTCCGTCAAACCTATGTTCTAATTGAAACCAAATTGTACGGAATTAGCGAATAAACAGTCATTTGCTTACTAATTTGGATCCCAGCTGAATCTCTCGTTTGCGATGTTTCCAGGCAACTGAGTTGGCCTGGGGCAGCACATTCAGGTGCCTGGAAAGAAACATCAAAACCGAGAGATTGAGCTGGGATCCAGGTGAGTCTCTCGAAGAACCAAATTAGTTTTGCAAATGATGTAAATTCGCTACTTTTCTAGGTTAGTTTTGAGGATTTCGCTAGGTTGAAAGGTCGCTGAAATTAGCTGATCAAGACAGATAGGGTTGTCCGCGGCTAGTCCGTGAATTAAAGAAGCTTATTGACTCTGGCCAGTAGGAACCAATGACTGTTTCAGGGAACATGTAGACATACGAACTTGGTGGATTGTACAAAAAAGGCATCCGTTTTTAATTTCGTCTTTCGAGACAACGTCGACGATGGAATGATACCAATCTCCCAGTAAATATCATTTTTCCGTTCTATTCCGCTGGGAACACTTTATAGCAGGGAGAGGAAAGGTCAACAAGCACCGCAGTGAAATAATGCATCCTTAGGTTCAGAACTTCCCGCATAATCACTACTAGCCTTGTCTCACGTACAACCACCACATACTACTAAAAAAACAACGTGTTTAGAAGTTTACTCACCCAGAAGCTTATTTGTGTTTATTCTCAATATGACTGCCTTCTGAAAGTTTGTCCGCTATCATACTGTTGGGGTTGAAATTTGTCTAGGGATTTTTTAATTCAGATTGCTGCGAATACTCCTCATAGCTTGTTCAAAAGCAAATTGATTTCACATTCACGTCACTCTGGTTTGAACAGCCGTCCTCCCGTCCGGGCGCGATTGTTCTGGTGAATCCACACCAAAGGGGGGAAGAGCTGGACTCGAGTTTCGCTGTTATTGGAGCTCATCGGCAGTGCATATCCAATGGCCGTGCCGGGGTTTGAACGGAGTTTCAAGATTCGGTGGCGCTATCTGACTGGGAAGTCCCGACTGGCGGGTCAGTCGACACAGCCAGGACAGTTACTGGGTCGTCGTACCGATGATGTGTCGGGCATGCCAATCACATCGCTCAAGCGTGAACACGTTCACCCGTTCAGACGTGATAGTTCAGATGCGTCCAACGTGCGCTGGTGAGATAGTGGTAACACGTTCACCGCGCATGTCAGCTGTCCGGAGTTCGAGCCCGGCACGACCATTGGATATGCATTGCTGATGTGCTCCAATAAGAGCGAAACTCGAATCTAGTGCTTTCTCCCCTTTGGTGGGGGCTCGCCAGAACAATGGCGCCAAGACAGGAGAACGACTGTTCAAATGAGGGTGAAGCGTTCATCTGTAACACCCTTCCGGTGCCTAGCTGCCATGCTACCCGAAGGAAGCGCGAGGATTGGGATACTGCCAGGTTGCCCAGGCCTAGAAAGGGGAAGTCGAGAGGCGGAGGTCGGATTCGAACCACGGACCTTCCGGTCAGTAAATTCGCGCTCCAACCACTTGGGCCATCTCACCCCGAAACGAGAGGGATGTGAACATGAACAGTACACATCCTGCAAAGCCCACAACGAATGGATTTCGTCAAAGCTCTGTTAGAACTTTTGATGATTTCCTTCACTTTTATGTATTTATGACGGATAAAATTATCTCGAACGGTGTTTTTTTAGGCTTCCGTCTAGCAACATCAAAATTGTACCGCCTAAAACCCGCTGTTGGTCTTCTGAGTATAAAATTAGGGCATTGTGTGTGCGTGTGTGTGTTTCATTAGCCTGCAGATCAGTTTACGATGAGTACATCTCAGAAAATTTTCCAGACAGTGTCGAAGAATAGTATGAGATGCACAATCTGGCAGTTATTTTCCCTAAGTTGGACTGGGCTGATAATAATCTGGACCTGAATAGAGCAAATGCAGTGGGAATACACATTTGTCGAGAGTTCTAAACGGACGGAAATAGATTATACGATGATGCACCATGCCAGAGGAGGGTACAGATGGACTGGCTGTTAACTGAAGCTATTCAAGGGAGTTGGAGAGAACGGGAGGATGCAATACGGTTGGGACCATAGAGGATGGAGGGCTTTTGGTGGAAAGCAAACACGCTTTCAACGGAGCATTTCCTTGAGGTCAACTGATGGACTAACTTATTTAACGGTCTGTAGCCTAGGATGCTGGTACAATTAGTTAGCAGGCGTAGAGTATTGCTCAGGTATTGAACGGTTATATGTAACGTGTTTCATCCAAGAAAGTCACAGCAACCCAGGGTGGACAAAGTCGGGTAAGAGATACAAACCCGAGACCTCTCATGTGCCGGTTACACCCGCTGGCCAGCATAACACATGGGCATTTGAGCTACAAATGAGCGAAATACATTCCCGGTTGGGAAGCCAGTAGCTGAGAATTTTCGGGGCCTCTATCAAGCGCGTTAGAGAATTCTAACGATGTACGAGAAGTTTACACTCCTGGGGGAACTAGTCAACCACACTGCTGTTCAAACGCTCGAAGTTTTCAACCCCTTAGCTGAAGGTCATGGGTTCGAAACTCTCTGAGTTTTGTCAGATGCGCACCGGTGATGATTCCTAATGAGGATAGAATGACTTTACAACGCTTCTTTCGGCGTAAATTGGCCTCATTTCAAGGGAGAAATATCATTTGAAAGCTACCTAGTCTCCTGCAAGCCACAACCCTGGTAGATCCCTGGAAGCGTTCGAAGATGCTGCATCAGCAAGTGTGGAAATGAACGAAACATATCCTTACCAGTAACAACGAGGCGATAAGTGTAGTTCAAACTCCCGCCGATGTTGGACACCTGACAAGTGTAGTGTCCCGTGTGCTCACGACCCACATGATCGATTGTAAGTATGGGTCCACGTGCACCTTGACTTGTCGTGATCCAGTCCGCGACAGTGTTGCCCATAAACCAGCGGTAACGAATAGGCTCGGTTCCATCGGCTTCGCAGTTTAATTTGACCGTAGAACCAACTGGTTGTTCAACGGTTATCACTGGATTTTGTTTCAATAACGGATCCAGGAAACAAGGGGCTGTACAAACAGAGTAGACGACGAATTCATAGGACGACATTAAACACTGTTGTTCATTGCTAGGACGGAGTTACAAATGTGCGTAAAACAAAATTACTGAGCTATCTAATGACTCAAATTGACTACAAATCTTCACCCTGGGGACTCCATTGGAGTCTCTCTGTCTCGTTATTGATTTTTACTCTTATCAAAGTCGCATGTTGCGCTTCTAGGCATTGTATACGGAGAGCGAGACGGCCTGTGCAATCGAATGAGATATGGAGACAGTAAAACGAATAAGTAGTTGGGCTTGAGCTGGAAATAACGTTGAGATGCGAATGATTTTTTGTGATCTCGATTCAACTGTGGGGTCTCCAGTGTTTTTCAAACCGACTGGCGTGGAAGATCAGTCAACGGCTGACTACGTCCACATTCATCTCTTTTGGTGAACAACTAAACCTATCCATATGGTGTTTTATCCGGGTGAACGCAATCAACACATATTCAATGTATGCATACACTCAGTAGGCCGTACTGTATTATGACCAATGAGGATCCAGTATGGGGGACAACAGTTCTCAGACGAGTGTTTTGACGTGTTTGAATATGCTATGAAAGAGGGATGGGATTCAGCTGAGTCAACCGGTAACAGAAATGTAATTCATAAATGAAGATGAAACCTTCATGAAGCAAACTACTCACAAGGTTGCTGAAAGCTCTTCGACAGCCCACGACCGGTTTCGCCCTTCTTGGGGCTCATCAGGTAGGCGCAGTCCCCGAGTTTCCTTCATCAAAATACACTGCGATATCTCGAATATCGTACCAACTGCAACATGAGGTGGCCTGTATGCAGCACATTCAGTTGTAGAACATCATAAACGAGAGATTCAGTTGGGTCTCTCGTGAAAACCAAATTGATTTGCAAATGAGTGTATTTCTCGAAGAAGGTGAAACCTGTTTGTGACGGCGCCCATCGCCACAGAAATACGCCAATCTATGTTACCAAGGGCTGGCTGGGTAGACTGGTCTCGTTAGTAGTGGCCTAGTTTACACCGACACGGAGTTAGATCTTTCCATTAAATTTAGGGGCGAAATATCGTTTTGAAACTAAACGGGTGAACGCAATCAACACATATTCAATGTATGCATACACTCAGTAGGCCGTACTGTGTTATGACCAATGAGGATCCAGTATGGGGGACAACAGTTCTCAGACGAGTGTTTTGACGTGTTTGAATATGCTATGAAAGAGGGATGGGATTCAGCTGAGTCAACCGGTAACAGAAATGTAATTCATAAATGAAGATGAAACCTTCATGAAGCAAACTACTCACAAGGTTGCTGAAAGCTCTTCGACAGCCCACGACCGGTTTCGCCCTTCTTGGGGCTCATCAGGGAGGCGCAGTCCCCGAGTTTCCTTCACCAAAATACACTCCGATATCTCGAATATCGTACCAACTGCAACATGAGGTGGCCTGTATGCAGCACATTCAGTTGTAGAACATCATAAACGAGAGATTCAGTTGGGTCTCTCGTGAAAACCAAATTGATTTGCAAATGAGTGTATTTCTCGAAGAAGGTGAAACATGTTTGTGACGGCGCCCATCGCCACAGAAATACGCCAATCTATGTTACCAAGGGCTGGCTGGGTAGACTGGTCTCGTTAGTAGTGGCCTAGTTTACACCGACACGGAGTTAGATCTTTCCATTAAATTTAGGGGCCGAAATATCGTTTGAAACTAACATTCACAGAACATGCACAGATGCCCAGTTCCATTACTATTTTTAAGGCAGAAATTGCGTCGATTATCTGTAGTTTGTTTAAAGCCTCACTTTAAATTGGAAAAAACTCCCGTCTGTTCTGGCGCGACTAGTCTGCTTGGTTCACACAAAAAATAATGACAATGAACTGAGGTCCTGGGACACATGGGACACTTACCTGATCATCGTCCGAGTATTCGAACTCATCAGCCACATAATTTAAGTGAAGTTGCTTTCAAAAGTTTACAGTTGAAGGACGGTCATCCTTCACTGCGTTTCAGAACTGAGGTCACACTCTCGACGTGCGCACTGCTGATGGGCTATGACAAATGTAGGTCTCGTTCTGTTTTACGGTGGACTAATCGATATAATCGCGTCAGGGCAGGAGAACTGTTCGAGGGACTGTGAGTTGAATGAAGTTGTTCAATGATCAATTTTTCCGTGTCGTGATAAATTGATACAGTGTTTCTAATCCCTTCCGAACTCAGCCATTTATTAATGAAGACAAATCGGAATGATGAGTATTGGCGCGTATAGGTTTTATGACGGGATTTATAAGTGCGAATCATAGGCACCCAAATACGTCTTCGTACCTGTCAATCATTTCATCTTCCAACATGGAGACTGTTTTGCACTTCCGGTAAATGAAACTTCTAGCTCAATTAACTCACGTGAAGTCGGGAAGAGAATAGTGGCCCCGATTAGTACTGTCTGCTGAGGACATATACAAAAAGTATTACCAAATTCTGATGCGACCTGGCGGATTAGCTTGGGTGATTTGCCCACTGTGGATTAAACTGCTGAAACACACATGGGATTCGCTTCGTTGCTACAGTAACACCAGAGAAACCCGATCAAGTCCAAGTGACCCAGTCCTAACCCGTTAGGTGTATTGGTTTGGGGGTCGGACATACCACGTGATCAGAATGTCTGATGGATAAGCGGCCTGTGAGGTCTCAAGTCATGTGAGAAATTGTCCACTGTTCAGTCGGGGACAGATCACGAGCACAGGCTTGTTTTTCTTTGAATAGGAGTATCGTATCCTTCGGCTATTTAAGCTATTTCTGACTTCAGTTCATCCCTGTTAAACCCCATCGTTTTCTGCACTCTTATTCAAACTATACATGAATGAAGCTCATGGGGTTCACGCACAGGTTGTTAAACCCGCCTAAAATTATGAATCCAAATTGTGGGGACTCCAGCCAGCAAAAACCAAGAGTGCTGGTAGAAATCCGGAAGTTAGTGAGTAGATTTCATCAGGGGAGGGCGAGCGGCAGTCTGTAGTAGTGTGAAACCATCAAGCGTGAGTACAACTGTCTGATTTGTAGCTTGGCATTAAGTCCAACGCGGCGAGAATTTCGATCTCGAGGCTGTGAACTCAGTCATGAAGTGTTTTATTTGGTTATTCCAGTGATTTGCAACTTCCTGATGGCGCCCCTTCAAAACCTTCCAGTTCGACTGAACGCGAACGCTGTAAAAGGCTACTTACCCTTTGCAGATCTCTGCAAACAAGATATGAACTCACGGTGTCAAAGTATCCGTATACAGGCTAATAAAACTAAGTTGGTCTACAGGACCATACCGGTCGTTGCAGAAACCCACACGTTTTTTCGTGCGAATACTTCCATCCGCACAATCGAAACTTCCATTAGAAAGTTTTAGGATGCTGAGCATGTGTGAACCAGAAAGCTGCACATTGTTTACAGGTGGATGGTTGCCCCAGTTCCCAAAAGTTAGGAAAATGGCATTGTTCAATCTGTTAAATATCTTGTTTCTTCAGTCATACTCTCATTCGCGTGGGTGCACTGTTTGTACTTAACTGAGCAGATAGTCTGTCAAACAAACTTTCTGCACAGTGCCTGCCTAGCGGTAGCCGATTGTGAAAAGCATCTGGAAGACCTAATTACCGAGCGACCAACAGTTTAAAATATTTCCTCTTCAGACACGCTGATCACGTGACCTAATAATCGAGGCGAACGGAAGACAGCTGATCCGTCCGCTGCAGGCTTCCTGTCTCACCAGTGTCCAACCTGTCAAACGTGGCAGCCAGCTGATCGAACACCCGCGTGCCCTGACAGGCAAGCCATCAAAAATATGCCCGTTAGATGGGCAAAGATGATAGGTTACAGGTCGATGTGCTGTTGGAAATCGGTGATGTTGAGTTATCAGTTTGTTCGTTTACGTGTCATGGACCACGATTTCATTCGAAAGAAATAACGGTCTGATCAAGAAGCTGGTATGCAGAGAGACGTTAAATACGAGCGTTTCGTGTCGAGTTGGACGGGTGGACAGGTTGACGAGCGATGAAGACGATGCAATGCGGACCACACCAAGTGGGCCGTAATCGTAATGGACCGGAAGGGAAACAATGTGAATGACGCGTGATTGGTAAGGTGCATTCTGCTTGTATTGTAGGCATCTGATGGGTTGTCAGAATGCAGACAATATTCCTGTCTGGCATATTGCTTGGCCAGAGGGCTTGAAAGTGCGCAGATTCTGATAAGTCGCATCGAATACAGATCTTGAATTGGGATATACTTTATGGAACATTGTTTTAGCTGGCTTGCAAAAGAATCTAGCTCAAGGTGATATAAAATTTCAGAGTAAAAGGTTGACATACCTTTGACATTCTGATGGGTTCGTGGTGTTGGGGCACATAGTAGGTTGGAGTCTGGATCTAAAAGAATTTGTAAACAAATGAATGACTGTGATTAGGAGTGCAATATCAATTTTCTTACAACCTGAGAAGCACCACAAAACCTTTATGTTCGCTGCAAATTCTTACTCAAAGGGGACTGGACGCTGAGACGGTAGTTCCATCGTAAGACCACCCCGAAGTGACACCAATCACATCAGTAATGACCTAGTGTGAGACCCCTAACAAGATAATGCTATTCTACGAGAGGCCAGGGGCCTCCGTCACCGAGAAAGTCAATCTTGAGAAAACACTATACGCAGCTCTGAGTGAAAATCAATATGTGAGTATTTGTGTACATCCATTTATTTCAGCTAGTCGTTGTAAAACCACGAGCTGAAATTGCAGAGTCTTGATTGCGAATAAGTAGTTATAAGAGTGTTCTCTTAACAAAGGCATCCAATCACATTTTGCCACCGGTAGATAGGTGTCATCAAGAAATTAGCTGAGCCTCTCTACCCTAATTATCCATCTACTGTAGCCTTGTCAGTGTTTGAAGGGAGCTTACCTCGAACGTGAACCTCAAAAGTAACCTCCCTTTTCCCGAATCCAGTAACTCCGGTACATGTGTACGTCCCCGAGTCGGCTACCTCCAACGGCACAGTGACTTCAAGCACTCGACGGTTCTGACTGAATCGGTAACGTGGATCTGAGTCCAATGTGTAATCAAGCCGGTCGCGTACACGCCAGTGGTAAAGCACACCAGAAGCCTCATCATGTTGGATTGTATTGGTCCCCGATTCACCGAAGTCAGTCAAACTGCCGGATGAGGTGCTGTGAACGGGACATTCGAGCCTTAAGTGGTCCCCGATATTCAATCGGATCTGGTTATTGTGGTTAGCGACAATGGGAACATGTGTTTCAGCGCCACCTGGGAAGAGGGACAAAAATAAGTAGTAAGTGCCACAATGAATATGTTGTGTAGAGTATTGGAATTGGGCAAACATTCAGTCGGTTTTCGATCAGAAGTCGAAACGGCCAAAAAGCACTTTGCCCCACAATAGAACCACGTCGTATGGAACACCGTACAAACACCGAACAGCTAGAACCATCTATACCAGACCTCAGGCCAGCTTCCTCGCTGTCCCAGGTGCGGACTGACAAGCGACAGCATCCGTCCAGCCATCACAAGTCAAAGCAAATGGCTGCCAGATGAACAGCGTCCCAAAGTGGAAGTTGTCCGTAAGAATCGAGAATCACGTCAGTTGGAAGGATATGTCACGAGGCGGCTACGGACCACACGAAAGCATGATCAGTCAGAGCGTAAAAGGATCATGATGGAGCATTCTTAGCTCGTTGCTTCTCGCACCATCACGAGGACTCTAGAGTGGCCTCATGGGAAATTCTGCGATAGCCCTGTAAATACGGTTGCACTAATTTATCCGGGTCTTCATAAAGGCTGTCTCAAGATACTGTGCCACGGTGGGCGGAAAACAAGCCAAGTACCGACGTAGGAGTTCCACTACCGTTCGCAAGGTGCAACAGATGGAGCCGAATATGGTACTATCGTTTTTGTCCGCGTCATGCGAAGTTCGAAGTGATTTACAACTCCTCTGCCTAACAAACAAGCTGTCAAATACTATTAACACTACTAAGTTACTTTGAATTTCAGCATATCAATAAAGGGTGGTAAGAGCTCGTTTGAATGCACCTGTGATGCCAGCAAATGGCAGATCACTGTATCGAATGGGTCACGTGACTGCAGTTTTGGCAACCTTAATAGCTTGTGGGTTAGTGAATTCTGCTTCTGTTACTAATTTGTTATAGGACAAATATTCAACAACGGACCTTGTCTGTAATGACAACTATTTTAATTGTTTAATGCCTTCTACGAGTCCAGGTCAGCTCGTGCTAAACATCTTCAGGAGGTACCTTACGAAACTCGGGGAACCATCACGTGAATCAGTTATTTGAATGATGTGATATTCCGTTTGAACACAACCCTGCCACCCGAACTGGGCAGGCACTCGTCGTTCAACCAGAGTGTTTACCTCTTTGTTGGAAATTTGCGGAGTTGAGTCTCTTCTGTGTTCTGGAAATACGGGATATTGATTACCTCTAGTGGAAAACACATCTGGTCATTGAGGACGAGTGTGACCGAATTAGTCGACCGAGGAGTATGCTCTTCTAACTGTATAACCATTAACAATTAACGTCGAAATTCTGTCTGATTCCAAGATTTAGCCGTCCATGCTAGTTCCATGATGCATCGACTCACTCTCAGTCACAACTGGTTTGTTCTCGAAATGACCAGACGTCTACCCACAATCTTATGCGCAAGCATTTCAAGTTTCATCCATTTTCAACACACAACAGCCACGCCTACATTCATCTTCTCACGTGAATTTATACTGAAGGACCGAGAAAACCTCTTAACTGAAGTGCCCTCTAGTCCATCGGTGTGTGTGTGTGTGCGTCCAAGTTGACCATACCCAGCGTTTCTCAGCTGATCTCAGCTGTAAGCCACTTATCACGCGCCAGGACATCACGTCTCCGTCACGGTGGTCGGTCAAGCGGCCACACAGTATGAATAGTCAGTCATTTCGGAGGTCCTACTGAGAGGAAAAGTTTTCCCGCTGACCGCTGCGATTACTCCCCCTTATTCGCCTGGCCACCCTCCACATTTAATTTTCAACTCTGGTCCCGGTCAACCAGAACAACTACGTCACTGCATGGGGCTGGTCCAACTCAGCCGTGAGTTTGTTTTGCTGTAACACGAAGACCAACTAATTTAGGTAACTTTTTCCCCTTAAAAATATTATCATTAAGGTATAGACGTAATACACTACTTATAAGGTTGCTAGCAATAAGTACAACATTCACGGCGCTTTCGCGTTTTCAATGCCCGCGTTTCACTTGCACTTCTATGAATTAATCTGCATGTTTACGCAACAACCGGTGCCCCGAAGGCTTCCTGCATTATCATCAACCGACCGGTTATTGGTCTTCTGATCAGAGTTAGAACGGAAGCGCAACTGCCCAGAGGCTGTTTGCCCCCCGCAAAAAGTGCATTGCCTGTCCATCCGGTCAAGACGAACTCTAATAAAGAAGCGTCCGTTAAAAGCACGCATCCAGTCAAACCTTAGCAGCTCGAAAAAATCAGCCATCGAGGATGCGCATTTCCTATTCGGCTTGTGGCGCGGTGGTCGTTGTCCGTTAGACCACTTTGGCGTGGCGAACAATGAGGTTCACCGCCAAACCACCACTAAAACACTTTTCGAGTTTGAGCATTTATTTCTGACACAGTCTTCCTTTAACCACTGGCAGCTTTCCCGTAGGAACTGTTTTTCATTTTGAAAGTTTTGCCCCAGCGGGTAGATTGTTTTCCAAATGAGTGAATTTCGTTTTTTTCACGATTTTACGTTTGCCAGTTTCACTTGCAAATCAGTTCGCTCATTTGTGTAATTGTTCCTCACCGGAATCCGGCCTAGTCGAAGTACTCACAGGTAATCTGAAACAGTTTGAACTTTTCCGAAATTTTTATATTGCTCCATTTCTGTTTCGAATTCGAACACAGCAAATCTCTTATTGACGAAGTACACTCATTAGACTCACCTGGAGCCCAGCTGAATCTATCTTTTATAATATAATATAGCAACTGAATGTGCTGCACCAGGCCGTCTCATGTTTCAGTCGCTGCGATATTCGAGATACCGCGAAACATGCGTATTCACAATGCACTACTCATAAGGTTTCTGGAAATTCGTCGACAGCCCACGGCCGGTTTCGCCCTTCTTGGGGCTCATCAGGTAAGCGCAGCCCGTCAACTTTGTGTTCTACTTGAAACCAAATTGCACTAATTTGCAAACTAATCTGGCTTTGCGAGAGACTCACCTGGAGCCCAGCTGAATCTATCTTTTATAATATTTTCTAGCAACTGAATGTGTTGCACCAGGCCGCCTCATGTTTCAGTTGGTACGACCTTTGAGATATCGCGATACGTCAAATGTAAAGGATAATTTCGACTCTTAAGTTACATCTCACGACACTTTTCCATTCATATACGGTGTCATACAACGAGAAAACAGTGTTTGGTATGGTCCCAGGTCTGACGAATTAATATGGTTTCATAAACTAAAGATGATCAGAATCCGTGAATCCATGAAAACTACACGAAAAATCACACATAGAAACAGATCCGTAATCTTTATAGACGTATTACACTACTCGTTAGGTTGCTGAAAACTTTTCGACAGCCCACAATCGATTTTGCCCTTCTTGGGGTCATCAGAGGCTTCAGTCTCCGAGTTCCCGTCAACCTTAAAGCCTCATAAACGAGAGACTCAGCTGGGTTCTAGGTGAGTCTCTCGCAGGACCAAACTGGGTTGCAAATGAGTGTAGTTCGCTAGTTCTTTACTATTCTTCATATGGTTCATGATCACTAAAGCTACATCCATGATCGACTACTCGATGGATTCCAAAACTGCCTGAAACCCCGGGGATTTTACTCAACAGCATTCCGTCTTTTTCAGAAGGAGTTTATGTTTCGGCTGCCGAATGCCGGTCGGTATACGCAGTGCAAGAGCCATTGTCTTTCTTGAGAGCAACGACGGATGTTACCCCAGAAGCGATCCGCATGATGACGTCTTGGTGGTTTCTAAGAATTATCAGCTTATTTCAACAACTACTGTGCTTCTTGCTTGTACCAAGTGCAGTCGGTTTTTTTCGCCGTCGTACTATCGGAAGGAATCTCGTTAACTTGGACAGAGGACATCAGAGAAAACTGCCTTGTTGAAGTTTTTGAATCCGGTAAAAATGATGCTGCTGGTAGAGCTACCCCTTGTTTTTCACAGCTTAGTGACAGCTACCTATTTGCTCTTTGTGTGCGGATCGCGTGCAAATTCAGAACATTGAAGGGTCTGCTACTGCGTGACTATAATGGCACATCAGTTGTTAGCAATTCACACCCGAAACAGAAACTTTCAACTGGACTCATGTGCGTCTATTGTTACCGCGCTATGCATATCTCACTCAAAGTGAAGTTGAACCCATTCTGCCACCACTTCGTAACCTTAACATAACCCAACTCAGACACCTTTTCTGTTCTGGTGCGTGATTGACACCCCAATTTGGTACGTGACCGATTCTCCGACCTGTCTGTCACGTGTTTACACTCAGTTGTTGAGCTTCCGGTCACCCGCATGTTACATCCAACGTCTCCATCAGTTCTCCACTTCTGGGCATGTTCAGGTGGTCTACTCAAGTAAAACACCGGTGGTGGTTTTGTAGCGCTCATCTGAGTCCAGCTGCCAATATTGGGGACGCCGCTCCATGGGTTCGCAAAGGCAAAAATAGAACAGCAATGACTTTATTGAGTAAGGTATCGTGAAGTTGGATCAGTAATTGGCCAATCACATTGCTCAAGTGTGGACACGTTCGCCAGCTCAGATGTGACAATTCAGATGCGCCCAACGTGTGTTGGTGGTTGCTCGCATCACATGTCGGATGTCTGGGGTGCAAATCCCGGTACGGCCATTGGATATGCACTGCTGATGAGCTCTAATAAGAGCGAAACTCGAGTCCAGTGCTTCCTTTGGTGTGGGCTGGCCGGAATAATTACGCCAGAACAGGAACACGGCCGTTCCAACGAGACTACGGATAACCAATATCAGTTTATTGATCAGTTTTCTCTTTCTTATCCTCCTTGGCGCATATGGTTGTCCTACAATCTGCGAACATCAAAACGTGATTTGGAAGGAGCTGTTTCTTCCAAGAAGGGATGAATTAACATACTTACTCGTCCACTGCATATTTAGTACTTGGTTAGCGATAACTCACTCGTCTTGCTGAAAGTTCATCGGATATCAACTAAATAAGGTGTTTACTGGCACGTTATTGTGAATTCGTTTGGTGTAATCGTTTGACGTCACCTGGGACACACAGAAAACCAGTGGTGACTTCAATAAGCTTGATTCCCATGAATGGACCGCATATGTGTTGCGATGAC